AATTAAGAGATATATAATATAAATAAAAATATTAAAATTAAAATAAATAAAAAAATAAATTTGCATAATTGCAAAAAATTTAAAAAAATTGCGAATATATTAGAATTTTTTTTGTAATATTTGTATGAGTAAATTAAAAATAAAATAATATAAAAATTAAAATATAAAATAAAAAATATTAAAAAAATCGCAAATATTCAAATAAGTTTGAAAAAAAAAAATTTTAGTCATTAAAAATAATACAAAGATCAAACTTTTAATTTAAAAAATATTCATAAATTTTTGAAACATTTAAAATATTAGTATACTTAATAATATTACAAAAATATATGATTAAACATATAGTCAAAAGTTTTTAAATATGTTTAAAAATAATTAATTAATGATCTGCCTAAAATAGATAGTAGATCAATTAGTAATTAATGATACTAATTGATATATATTGTAAAAAAAATATCAAGTTTGTGTCTAAAGTAAAGTCGTATATATTAGACATGTGATTTCTAAATTAATGCAATTCTTGAAGCCGCTAATAGTATTTTTCAAAAATTAAAATTACAAATCTTATTTATTAGTATATAGTAAAACTTATTTTTGATATGAAGTAGCATTTCGGCTTCTAAAAACAAAAGATTTAGAATTTATACAGAGTATATTTTTTCTAATTTATAGAATTTTTGCTAATAAAATAATACTTCGAGACTATACAGATTAGAATCTTGAAAGATTATTTTGTTAGCAAAGATCTCATATGAGTTTAGTTTTACTATAGTTGCTTTATAATAGACCAGAATGTTTTCTATTAATTAGGTGCGAAATTATGACAGATAATAAGTCACTTGGATAGCTAATCGATTTTTATTTTATTTATTCAGGTTGATCTAGTAAGTATGTATATATATATTTATTGTCTAAGATATAAAGAAGATATTTAAGTAGTATTTAGTATGCTGAAGATGTAATTCTAACAGACGATATACTCTAGAATTATCATTAGGGTCATATAAATATGAACAAAGATTAAAAGAAAGCATCAAAATGGTATTTGAAATTCTTTTAAAATATTATTCTAATCGTAGATATTATTCTAATCGTAAATATTGTTCTAATTATAAATATTATTCTAATCGTAGATATTATTCTCTACTTACAATACTAAATGCTATAAACTGCAAAGAATTCTGTTCCTTCAATTGGTGTTCAAACATGCTATCTTTATTTTACTTATTAATTTAGAATAGCATTTTAACTAGTTTTCTTAGTCTATACGTTCTCATGAATCTATTAATATAAGGTAATATTTGCATTTGATTATTGCAAAAAATTTTTGGCTATTAGCTATTGTCTGAAATTAAATAAAATTTTGTTAGTATTTTGATATTAGTATGTTAACTCTTTCATTGTAAAAATCTGAAAATAAAAATAATTTATACCGAATATTATGGCTTTATTATTATGAATGAAATTAGAGTTAAGAAGGATGAAATAAGGTATTAATTTATTATCAAGAACTTGCAGATATGAATTTTTTGGTAAAATATTCTAACTTGGTTTAATTTATTATCAAGAACTTGTAAATACAAATGTTTTGGCAGAATGTTCTGGCTTAGTTGTTGCTGCAAATAAACTTGGAGTTAAGAATGATAAAAATAATATATTTATTCATTATCAAAATCTGCAAGATAAGCAGTGTCTCATTTAGTTTTTATGAATATAATTGGAGTTAAAAAGTATGAAACAAGGCATTCATTTATTATTGAAAATTTGCAGATATGAATGATTTAGATGGATTATTCATCTTGGTTATTATTATGAATATGTAGACTTTTTGCTTTTTTGCTCGTTGAAATTCATTATTTTATTAGTCAATTATTATGTAACTATGCCCGGAATTTAGAAATAGCAGATTATTAAGGAATAGCAAAAGACCTAGCAGATTGACTTAACTTATTATAGTGGATGATTATTTTTAGTTTTCATGCTCTTCATTATTCGATCTTTTGGTTAGTGCTATTTTAGTTGACGGTTCTTTTCATGTGCTAGCAAAGTTGCTGATCTAGTTCTTAATAGTAGAAACTTCAGATAAATTATCAGAATTCAGTTCACTGTTATCTACAAATTCTTGCAATGCATTATACATTTCTTGAGCTGAAATTCTGTCTTTTGAATTTAAATTTCCATTTAAAAACATCTGTTGCAACATTAATCGCACTCCAGAAACAATTCATTTGCCTTTGCCTTTCTGATTAAAGATTTGATTTTCTTTCATCGCCCATCCACTTTTTAATGGAAATTCTTGTTCAAGATACTTTTCTATATTATTCAAATTATATTATAATAATAAAGTTTGACAGAAATTTAAATGCATTAGTAAATTATTCTATTACTTACCTGTTTGCTGAAAGTAATTCTCAGAGGTTTGCCCTGTATTACCTATCATATTAACAATTTATTATATAGTTTGGTTATATTATGGTTATTTGTAGACACAAATCATTTTCGTGATGGTGAACTCCTAGTATAGTGAATACTAATTAAAACTTTGACCTAATAGAGATCAAATCAGTCTATACAAATTCTTTCGGTATGGTGTATTTCTTAAATTCTTGATAGAGTGAAATTTTGAAAATTTTTTTTCTGGAAAATCACTTCATTAAAGGTTAAGTTATATTATTATAATCACAATATAGTTTTATGCCGGATTATAATTATTTATCTTACAGGTATTAATTTCAAGATATTTTTATATTTTGTAAGGTAGCAAGTCACAAAAAATTATTAAAAAGTACAAGAAAGTAATATCTTTTAGTACTTCTAGTTCAAATTACCTTCCAACTTGTCTAATAGTTCTGTTTCTCTCTACCTATAGAATATTTGATCTTTCAGATAAAATGACATATATAGTTTTTTTAAAAAAAAAATTAACATTTTTTATTAGTAAAGGTATTATCTATTTTGAAGTTGGTTTAGTATGTTCTGATTTAGTTGGGTAGGCTGAGAAATTTTATCATTGCATAATCTAGTGTAAGTAGCCAGGGTTATAATGTTAATTCTCCAAAATAGGGCAATGATCGTGCTACAATATATCCAGCATATTTGTCTTCCACAGGCTATTTCTACTAATGAAATTTGGAAATTCCTTTGATTGTTCCAACATTAATTTGGTTTATTTTTTTTTGTAAATTCATTGCTATTTGAACTTGTTGATTCTAATTCTAAAGCATTTTTTTTAGTTCTCTATTAGGTTCAATGTTTGCTAAAAATGGTTCAGCAAGATTTTGACTTGCTTTGACAATATCAGATTCCTCAGAAATATCCAAACCAATACGAATATGTCTCTTTATAGCATGTACAATCTAATACAAAAAAATAACTAGTAAGTTGATAGTTTGATATTAATAGAATTTTATAGAAATATTATATAACAGGAAATGAGACTTCAGGTTTTCATCCCTTTAAAAATCTGATAGTAATATATATAATACTCATCAATATCGTATATAGCACCAATCAGATTATTTATGGGCTGAAATCAATAAATAATCAGTGATAAACTTGAAAGCCTGAAGTTTCATTTTTTCTTTGCAGTATTTATATACTTACAACCACATAGTGTGAATCAACAGTCATTTTAGCTTCACCAGATTCTAGAAAAAGCTATTCACGAACTTCTATCTCATACCAACTATTCTAATATGCCACAATAATCATTAACTCACTATTGTAATAGTGCAGACTATTGTCAGAAATAATTTTTATCTACTTGGGTTTCTTGAGTAGGTTAGTAAAAACTGTTTTAAAACAAGATGCAGTAAACCATGCATCTTGTTTAGTATTAGTTAACCAATAATCATAGGCATTAATATTCATTTGATTATTTTCTGCTAAAGTAAAGACCAGTATTGTGTGAAGCATCCATTCTCATTTGCCAAAGAACTCTTGTTTGGTTTCTCTAGCTGATTTCGGTAATATTCTCATCTTATAATCAGCAATTATTATAGCTCTATCAGGATCAAGACTAGAAAGTGTTACTTTGAATTAGTTGTTAAGATATACTTTACGAGCGTGGTGAGCAAGAAAGTATTTCAATTTTTCATACATTTCATTCACTTTTTTATAATATTCATTCGGTACAATAATTTTAAAAAACTCAAAAAAATTAAAAAATTCATTACATTCAATATATCTAGTTTCGTGCTGGGATGAATATTCGCCAAAGGCATACGGAAGACAGTGATTAATGCATTTATTATGTAACGGAATTCCATTTGCTTCATTAATTAACTCTTTTTCAAATTTTTTTCTTAGTTGCCGTTGCAATTTTTTAATACGTAAAATTAAGGGATCCTATAATAGTAAATTATTTATAATGAATATTTCAATATATATTTGTATATGTTATGTGTCAAATTAAAATTTGTGCCAAATTAAAATTTAAATATAAAGTTTATTGGGGTTAAGGTAAAAATTCATTTAGTATTATAATCTGATACAAATATTAATTTGACACACTAAAATAATATACACTAGCATTATATTTTACATTATTACATACCAATTATTCTTTATCAGTATAAATTTGTTGGGCCAATGTTGAAAGTCTTTTAAAAACTTCATAACTATATTCATTATATATAATACAAAGGCCTCCAAAATCTTCTCTATAATATATATAGCTACAATTAGCTAATTGTACCATAAATAATGTTTGACGCATACAATTCAGGTAAGTTTCTGCAAATTTGTCCACAATAATTCTTTTTGATTTTGAAGATATATAATTAGTTGTCCTGTTTTGGGATCAACTTTATAGGAGCTTTGCGCTACATTGTTTTTGTCTTGAAAAAATAATAGAAATTCTTGTTCTTTAACTTCTAACATATGTTGACTTGTTTTTTTAGGTTAAATAAGAGGTGAAGTGCCAGGACCATATAGTCTAGAATGCTTACGTGCAAGGCTAATAGTATTTGGACTAACCTATTATTAAAATTTTTAGATAGTTAATTATCATTTATATATATAAGTGCTGCCAAAAGAAAATAGCTATTTCGAGCTATCAAATATATTATCAATTATTTATCTGATTCAGCCATTCTGATCGATAATATATCAGGTTTTAAATTTTATAACTTCTAAAAATTATCATAATTATTTTGGTGAAACATCTATTATATTTAAAACCAGATATATTATCAGTCAGAAAAGTTAAGTTCGATGAATAATCAATAATAAACTTGATAGCCTGAAGTAGTCATTTGCTCTTGGCTGCACTTATATATGTTGTGTTCTAGACTAGAATTACCCTAATTCAGAATTAGGATAATCTGAATAAGAATTTTTGCAATTTTGGCCCAAATTGTACTAACCCTAATTTTTTTTTTCTAAACCTAATTCTAGTACTAACCCTAAAGTTTTAATTCTGCTAAAATAATTTGCAAGATTCTTTAGTGCTTATTCAGAATCAGGTTGATTCTAATTTGAGATATGATTTATATATTTTAAGAAAAAGAAAATTCATACCTGCAATTTTTTACAAATTGTCATGTATGAAAAATTTCTAGTAATTATTGACAAAATTTGAATTTTACCTTCAGCACCTTGTTTGTTTTTTTGTAAAGATTGAGAAAAACTATTCCAAAAAGCATCTTTCTTTTTATGATTGTTAATTACAGATAATGATATAAAATTTATGTTAAGTATTCCGCTTTCATATAGTTTTTCTAAATTTGCTTTATCAATATGTGGATTTTCAGTTCTGCTCCAAAATTCAATTTCAGATATTCTTTAAAATATGGTGTTATATTGTTACATCTACATGCAGGTAATATAGCTTTCTATATGCGATATTCTTTTTCTTGTATTTTATAATCTGGTAAGTAAATAGAATTTATAGCCTTAGGTAATTGAATTATACTATTTTCTTGTTGAACCCAATTTAAAAAAGTGTCTTCCAATCTAGCAAACTACCAGTTACAATGTTTTAAGGTCTTATATAGTAATCATTAATTCTTTCTAATATATCTGGAAGTTGCCATTCATGTAGTTTGCAAGTATGCTTAGATTCATTATTCAATTCATTAAATTTTTCAATTACTAATGAATAATTAAATCTGAATAATGTAATCTCATCATGTTTTAGTTTTAGATTAGTTTTTTTTCCATACGCCATTTGCTGTTTCATCTTCGTAATGTGCAATTATAGTAGTTTTTGAGTAAAAGTCTAGAATGAATCTGTCATCTATAATTTGTTGCAATACAAGACACCTTTGGCTATTTTTAGTTATTAACAATGAAGAAATAAATTTGTTTAGTAAAGAACTACAGTCTGATATAACAATATTGTATAGTTCTATTTTTAAGAAAATTGGAAAATAAAAAATGTTTTCACATATTTTATTGACAATATGTATATTATCAAATCCCATAACAGCTGGTCCAGAATATTCTGTATTAGTTTTAAAAATCAACGAATATACTGAATTTATAGCCGTAGAAGGTGATGATAAAATCAATAAACTATATTCACCACTACTACAAATAAATCTAGGTTGATAATAGTTGGTTTCAGATTTAATAACAGAATTATAAATTGTCTTTGATTTAATTCTATAGCAACACTCATATAGAGCCGATATGGTATAGTTACTAAATTTCCAAAATCTTGAACTTGTTGAGTTCACCATTCATGTGCATAAGGTCCGA